CAGATTTTCCCATGTTCATTGCAGATGAACCTAGGGAAATCATTCTGACATACATTGCTGAATGTTTAAGAGATGGTATTCCTCTGCCTGCTAATATAGTGCAGAAGGAAGGAGAAGTATTGCCAAATCTTCTGAGAGAAAGGCGCAGGAAGAGAAAAGCTGAGGAAGGATCTGTTGCACATCCTAAGAGGAAAGCCTCTGATACTGCTAACAAGCCTGAGAAGGACAAGAAGCAGAAGGAAAATCCTCCAGAAGCTAGCTTGGAGGAAATAAGAGAAACTATTCAACAGGTATTAACATCTGATCCCAAACCTTTTGTCCCTTCACCTTCACCTCCACCATCTCCTCCTAAACCATCTGAACCTCACTCATCTGAACCCATTTCATCTCCTTATACACATTCTCAACCATCTTCTGTTCAACAACAATCTGAACCCCCTCAACAAAAATCCTCTGAACAACAACCCCCTCAACAAACACAATCTGAACCACAACAACAAACATCTTCTGAACCACAAAAACAATCTGAACCACTCTCTTCTACTCAACCACCAGAAGAACCAACCATACAAAATCCTGAACCCTCTGTTCCACAATCATCTAAAGACATTCTGGATGTGCAACCTATTACAACCATGTATGTCCTCTCTTCCACTTCATGTCATTCAACTGAATCATCTGATTCTGATGAATCTGAAGTCCCCTCTCCAACTAGCTTACAAACTCCTGATCCTTATAAACCACTACCATCTGACCTACATGCTTCTGACCACCCTATTCGCTTCAAATTTAACTTCACAGATTTTATTCCACCCTCATATGATGTTGTTACATCAACACCATCTGATGGTGAAACCTCTACTCCTCAACTCACCATACCACAACCATCTGAACCACAAACATCCATACCACAACCATCTGAACAACCATCATCTGAACCACCATCATTTGATCACCCACCTCCTGAACAAAACCAAACACCTCCTGAACCATCACACAAAGTCACCATAGAAGACTTTCTGAACCCCAAACCCAGATCAGATGTTTCTACTCTGTTTAAGAATTTCAAAAAAGGAAATACGTATGGGGATTGCTTCTGTGGAGAAAGAGTGCATGGCTAGTATGGATCCTACTGAATCTGAAGCCTCTTGGAATAGATTCATCTCAAAGTTCAACTCTGCTGCATCTGATCTCAGAACACTTTGTGCTGATGATACAAAGGCAAAGTTTGCTGAAATGGTCAGACAGACTCTGCTGAGCATTATCACAACCCCAATGCTTCTTCTGGAAGATGCTCCTGCTGAAGATTCTGCAGTGATAGAAGATACTCCTGCATCTAACATGGAGATTGATCATCCAATGGCAACTGCATCTGCTTCTGATCCCTCTGCATCTGAGGTGAAGACTGAGATTCTAGATATTGTCCAAAAAGTCAAGGAAATCAGATCATGGATGATAAAACAGTAACAAACTACTGAAGAAATCAAAACTTGGATGGCCAAGCAAGAAGAGTCAACTGCTAAGATTACTGATCTTCTGACCTTGATTGCTTCTCGCCAGTCCTAATTTTCTTTTCCATGTTGTTTGCATTCTTGTTTTACACTTGTTTTCTGTTGTTCTATTTTCTGTCATCTGTTGTATGAACATCTTATCTTTTTATGCTCTTTTGATCTGAATGAATCTGGCTGTTATGTTTTTCATTTATGTGTTGTATCTTTTCTCTTCTTCTGTTATCTTTTCTGTCTTTACAATTCTTTTTTGTTATGACAAAAAGGGGGAGAAAGAGAATTTGATTGTTCAATCCATAAGCAATACTAAAATGAAATTCAGACATTGTATTAATCTAACATTGAATCTTAAGACTTTCAGATCTTATTATTTCATCTGACAAAAGTGATCTGAAGTTACCCTGAGAATTACCCAACCAGGCTTTGATCCTTGAAAGCATATTTGACTCTGATTTTGGAAGATACACCAGACTTTTCATTTTGAAAGAAATCATCAAACTCTTATTCTGGAAAGCATAAAAAGGATTTCTACCAGGTTCTGAAATATACTCAAGCAAAAAGGGAATTGTTCTCTTCTATTAGAGTATTCATTTCAGGGGGAGATTCTTAATCTCAGGGGGAGTTATATATTTTATTTCTCTTTATTGAACAAAATTCCTTATGTTTTGTCATCGTCAAAAAGGGGGAGATTGTTAGAACACAGATTGATGTTTCTTATATCTCTATGTTTTGATGATAACTTTTATGGAATTTTGTATTAAGAAAATATATACTCTAAAATTTGTTGAAGTACTATTGTTTCAGGTATTAAGTTAAAGAATCTTAAAGAAGCAAAATACATAAGTACAAGAAACTATGCAAGGCTCTGAAGCATCAGATGCAAAACTATCAGAAGATTCTGGAGCGCTGCCAGAAAAATCTGAAGTAAAACCTACAGAATGATCTGAAGCGTTAATAATCTGAAGTTCTTTCTACTGCAAGAACAGAGGCTTTGATTATCAGACTCTTACCATTAATATTCACGCTCAAGCACATCCTGCTGCGTACTCTGATGAAGACTCTGATCAAGATTGAGACTCTGATATATTAAGATCTGATCATCTATCAAGGCTCTGAAAATCTCAATCATCTTAGCTCTGATCATCTTAAAATATTTCATGCCTTTAAGCTTGCTACAAGTTCTGAAGTGCAGATTATGAAGACTTCATCCTGAAGGAAGCTTGTTGAAGAAGTTGTAAACTTGATTGGACGTGGTGCTACTTCCAAAGTAACCAACGGCTAATTTGTCCAAAGAAGTGACGTGGTGCAAATCCCAAGGCTTCTACAACCATACCTTTCCTGCAGAAAGCATATCTCTGCCCATACCTTTTGGAAATGAAAAGTCTTATATCCTAATATTATATTGAGCTGCACATCACTCAAAGCATTTGGAAAAGCTATAAAAGGAGAACTTCTACAACATTGTGAGGTTGCTAATTTCCTGCTCATCACTTACTCATTGCTAGTTCACTCGGAAAGAGATATTCTTACACGCTTGATTCATCAAAGTGGAAATCTCACAAAGATCTTATTCATTTGTTCTTTCATAAAACTGTATAGTTTTTGTTGTACTTAATCTTAAGTGTAAATATCACAGTTGTGATACAGCTTATTAAAAGCAATCAAACACTCGTTAGGTTACATTAATTTGTAAGAAGTTCCTTAAGAAGACCAAGGTGTGGTCAGTAGTTCTTGAGAAGACTAAGACAGTTGTTCTTAGTGTTTACTATTATAATCAGTTGATTAATAGTGGATTAAGTCCTTGTTGAGAAACGCAAATCATCTTTGATAAGGTGGACTGGAGTAGTTGAGTTCAACGAACCAAGATAAAAATCTTGAGTTGTTTTTATTGCCATATTTCTCAAAAACTCTTATTCAACCCCCTTCTAAGTGTTTTTCTCACCTTTATTTAAAACTGAAACTTTTATAGTTGATTGTAACTTTTTATGTGACCGTTGCGTTATGAAACCAAAACAAACACCTTTTATGTTCTATGTTTAAAATAATTCCAACTGTAGAACGACGATAATATCACACAATCCCTGCATATACGATAACAAAAACCACACTAATACTGTTTCAACAGACACATGGCTCGAGGTTCATCCTTCAAAGTCTCATCAACGTCCCATATCCCGAGACGTCGAACACGAGGTTCAACCTTCCACATCCCCCCGCAAACATGCCCTTGGGGAAAGGCTTAAAACAAGCTATGTTGTCGAGCACAAATAACCACTTCGACATCCTTACGAGCACATGACCTCGCAGACAAACTCGAACCGGGATTGTGTCGTCGAGCACGCGCGACCGCTTAGTATCCCGCGGGCAGAAGTTCGATGACAAACTTTCAACAGGCTCACGCTGTCGAGCACGAGGGGTAACCTCCACTCTCCCTCGCGAGCGTAACTCCGCGAGCTCGCCGCCACAAGCTTGAATAAAAGCTCTCCTCGCACATATTTTCTTTGCCCCTATTCGACATAAGAATTGACTATAAGTCATTACTCTTCTGCCTTGGAGCAACGACTTGGGGGCTCCTGTTCTGGGTTGGGGCCAAGGCTGGCCCAGCGTCGGGCGCAACCCAGTCCAGCTCCGCGTTGAAGAAGACTCAACACAAAGGAACAATTCATGGTAGCCGTCAGAAAAGCACATTCCCCACGTGCTCCTCACTCGAGGACACGTGGCCAACTGATTCCACTCATCTCGCAGAAACGTTCAGCCTTCGTAACGGGCACGTCTTCCACTTCCCAGAGAACGAGGAGTAGTTGGCACAGGATGATGATCACGAGCTGCTCATCCTTACTTCCACATAGGAATCCTGAAGTCATCCATTATGAGCCGGATCACCCAGTCCATAATAGAGACCGTTGATCTAGCGTTGAGAGCTCTATAAATACCCTTTTCTAATAGAGAGTCATACATTCAATTCAATTTCACATTTTACTTCTATACTTGCTTTTCTTCACTATGTATTTAATTTAGCATTGGAGTGACTTATTGTTGACCATTGAAGATTCTTCTAATTCTGATATAATCAATTTACAATTAGAATCTCAGCTAATCCAACTCGATTTCTTTTGACCGATGAAGCTTTCCCACATAAGCTTTCGTTGCAGTCGAATAAAGATTGATTTTGAGGCTTTGTAGAAGGAAAAATTATAGATAGAAATGGTAGTTAGAACATCCTTCATCATAACAATCCTTCCTCCCATATACAAATGTTTTCTCTGCCAAGAGTCTTTTACGAAGTTTATTCAAAACCGGTTGCGACATTTTCCTAGGATTTCCTTTATTGTTGAAAACTAAAAAACAAACTAAAAACTAGGAAAACAAAGGAAAATTATAAACCAAAGCTACGTTTTCTCAAAATAATATATAAACAAACGACGTTGAAATTTGAAGAAACAAAATTGAAGCGGTTCGATAACTGAGAAGCAATTGAAGTGAAACCCTAAGATGGAGTCGCACGGTGCCGGACCACTTCGTTCACGGAGTTCACAGTCCGCTTCTCCTTCTCACTCCGCCTCCGCCTCCGCCACCTCCTCCATCCGTAAGCGCAAACTCGTATCTGAAGATCACGCGCCTCCGTTTCCACCTTCTTCTTTATCCGCGGACACACGCGACGGCGCACTTACCTCCAATGACGACCTAGAAAGCATTTCCGCCCGTGGTGCGGACTCTGATTCCGACGAGGACTCCGAGGATGCAGTTGTTGACGACGATGAAGACGAGTACGACAATGATAACGGTTCCTCCATGCGCAATTTCACCGCTTCTAGGCTCAACAACGCTCCCGCTGCTCCCCGCAATAGTAAGCTCAAATCCGAAAACTCCACTGTTAAGATCGAACAGTCTGATGGAACTAAAGACTCCGTACCTTCTGTTACCGGTGCTGCTCCCGGTGCCGGTTCTGTCCCCGGCATTGCGGTTAAGGAGGATGCAACGAAAATATTCACTGAAAATTTGCAGACCAGTGGTGCTTACAGTGCCAGGGAAGAGAGTCTCAAGAAAGAGGTTTCATTTAATCTCCTTTAACTTAATTTCATGATAAAATTTCACCGTTTCTTGTTAATTTTGTTAGAAAAATTGTTCTTAAAATTCAAATTTGATTATTTACTTGCTTGTTAATGATTGTTAACTCCTTGAATTTGTTACTAATGTCATAGTTTCGGATTCAACTTTTGTTGCTCGGCTTAAATTTACATACATATATTTAACAAAAATATTACAAACTAGTTTGAGGTGATAGGTTTCATGGTTGTGTCTGTATTGTCTTTTTTCAGGAAGAAACTGGAAAACTCAAATTTGCATGCCTTTCGAATGATGGTGTTGACGAGCATATGGTTTGGTAATACATTTATGCTTCACCGCCTTTACTAATAATCTTCTTAGTGACATTCATTTCTGCAAATAATATGTATTACTTTACTACTTGTAAGTGGGGACTGATCCTACAATTAACTTCTGAGGAAGCCAAATATATAAGTTAGAGCAATCTTATATTTCTAGCAATTTAAAGGTGTAATTGACATTACATTTATCCTTGTTTTTATAGGAGAGATCAAATTAGTTACTGAAGAATTTAAAATAAAAGTACCATACAGTTATCAAAGTTGAACATAATAATACTACTAATTTATGCAGAGTATTTTTCAATAGGCCAAATAACCTGTATAACATAAATGCCTACTAACCTAATTACATTATTTTTGTGCAATCACAAATTAGTGCTAGAATCTATGCAACATGAACTTATATTAGGCCAAGGCTCACCCCCATTGCATCCGTTCCTGCATATAGTTTAGTCTGCTGTTTTCTTTTGTTTGTTAAAACTCAAAAAGTTTTTTAGTGGGTGAAATCATCATTACTGATATTGTATTTCTTGCCATTGTTATTTATTTGTTCCATAGGTTGATAGGATTGAAGAATATATTTGCTAGACAACTTCCCAATATGCCCAAGGAGTACATTGTTCGACTTGTTATGGATAGGTAATGCCCACAATTTTTGTAAGTACTCATCATACTTTCTTACTCACTCAGTGCTTAAATTAGTCTGGGTATGTTCGGGATTTGGTGAAAAGTTATTTCTCCAATTCAAGGCAAAAATAACTCCCAGTTGCACTACCCAACAAAGCCCTAAAAAAGCATGTCTTATATTATTTGTTTATCAAATATAATAATGTTGACCGATACGTTTTAAAGTAGTTTGGAATGTAAATTTTTCTTTATTTGTAACAACTGAAAAACAGTGTTATCAAATATCCGCCATGGCGGATATTCATGGCGGTATTTATATCAGTAGAAGATTTAGAAACTCTTGCTTGCTTCTTACTTTTCCAAGAGATCAATGAAGAACCAAGAAACATACACCAACCAGTAACAGATCGACGAGTATCAGGACACCCTGCCCAATCAGCATCACTATAAGCGCTCAACTGAAGAGAAGTTCCAACAGAAAAGAATAATCCGTGGTGAGAGGTTCCTTTTAAGTAGCGAATTATACGACGAACTGCAGCCAAGTGAAGATGGCGAGGAGAATGCATGAATTGACTTACTTGTTGAACAGCAAAAGATATGTCAGGGCGAGTAATAGTCAAGTAGTTGAGGCTACCCACAAGTTGTCGATACAATAAGGGATCAGGCAACAGATCCCCATCATCACGATGATATTTAACATTAACCTCAAGAGGAGTATCTACTGGATTAGCCGATTCAAGACCGGCCATAGAAATCAAATCTGTAGCATACTTGTGTTGATGGAGAAAGATGCCCTTGGATGTAGAATGAACCTCAAGACCAAGAAAATAATGTAGATTACCCAGATCTTTCATATGAAATGAGGCCTGTAGCTGTTGCTTAAGTCGCTGAATGGAAGCATGATCCGAACCAGTAATAACCATATCATCAACATACAAAAGAAGCAGAACAATACCCGCAGATGTGCTATGAATAAATAAAGATGAATCATACTGACTCTGAGTAAAGGAGAATCCAAGTATAGTGGCGCGGAATTTCTCGTACCATGCTCGAGGTGCCTGTTTCAAACCATATAAGGAGCGTTTGAGCTTACACACGCCTTTAGATGAAGAGAATAAGCCTTGAGGTGGAGTCATATAAATATCTTCTGTCAGGTCACCATGAAGAAAAGCATTCTTCACATCCATTTGATGAAGAGTCCACCCATTAGAAGCAACTATAGACATGATTGTGCGGACAATTGTCATTTTGGCAACCGGTGCAAATGTCTCATCATAATCAATTCCATATTCCTGCTTGTTTCCTAACGCAACCAAACGAGCCTTGTAACGGTTGAGGGACCCATCAGAATTCAGTTTCACAGAATACACCCATTTGCAACCTATAGGTTTTACATTTGGAGGACAAGTGACGATATCCCATGTGAAATTCTCTTGAAGAGCTTGGAGCTCTTCAGTCATTGCTTTTATCCATCGCACATCTTTAACAGCCTGTGAGTAACAAGTAGGAATAGATATGCTAGAGAGTGTGGCAGTCAGAGAAGTATGTGAGGAATCATACCTGTCTGGTGAATATCTATCTGGTGCGCGGGATATTCGACCAGAACGTCGTGGTTCAACCGGTACAGGATCAGGTGGCAGTTCAGCATCGAGAAGGGGTGTGGGAACCTGTTGTCTGTGTTTTCTGACATATACATGACCTGGTTTATAACGTTCTATAGCTTGAGGCATAATAGAAAACTTAGGAAGAGTAACAATATCATTAATGGCAGGAGAACCACAGGGAAACATAAACTGATTATCAAAAAATGTCACATTTCTAGAAATGCGAAAACGATGGTTAGAGACATCATAACACACAAATCCCTTATGAGAGTTACTATATCCCATAAATGCACATTGAACGGATTGTGCTCCAAGCTTATGCCTTTCAAAAGGAGGTAAGTGAACAAAACACACACACCCAAAAGTATGTAAAGCACTATAATCAGGATGGATTTTAAATAGACGGAAGAAAGGAGAATCAAGATCAATAACTGTAGAAGGAATACGATTGATCAAGAAGACAGCCGTGGAAAGAGCCTCCACCCAAAATCGGATGGTACAGAAGCTTGGAGAAGTAAGGTGCGTGTTACATCAAGCAAATGACGATTCTTACGTTCTGCCGTGCCATTTTGTTGAGGGGTATTGGGACAAGACCGTTGAGACAAGATGTCTTTTTGTTGAAGGTATTCCTGAAACTCATGAGACATGTACTCACCACCAGAGTCAGATCGAAAAATTTTAACACTTGCTTGAAATTGAGTTTCAACATATGTCAAATATTTCTTAAACATAGAAAACACTTCGGATTTAGAACGGAGAAAATATATCCAAGTAAAACGACTATAATCATCAATAAATGTGACAATATTTATAGTGAGCATGAGAAACCACAGGAGACATTCCCCATACATCACTATGAATCATCTCAAAACAAGTGGAAGCACGATTAGCACCAGACGGAAAAGGAAGTGTCTTACTTTTAGCCAATTTGCAAACAGAACATGAAACAGAGGCATCAGGAATAACATTTTTATTTCCCAACAAGCCACTTTTACATAAATGAGACAAAACAGAAGAGTTTGGATGACCTAGTTTTCTATGCCAATCCTCATAGAAATTCAAAACATTATGACAAGCAAGAGACAAATGATTAGAAATAAACTGTATTGGAAACAATCTTCCCACTTTAGGCCCCTTCGCGATCACTTTCCCCGACACCTGCTCCTGCACAAGACAACCAGATCGAGAAAAATTAACATTACAATTATTGTCCACCAATTGACCAACAGACAATAAATTAGAAGCAAGTCCAGGTGAGACAAGCACATTCTGAAAATCCGAGTTTATGTCCCCAACGTTAGTGATAGACAAGGTATTACCATTAGCAATCTGAATTTTCTGATTACCATGATAAGAATGTAAATTGTGCAAGTTTTCAGATGAACCTGTCATGTGATTGGATGCACCAGAATCAATAAACCATGGACGAGAAACATGAGAAGACTTACCCTTAATACCCAAGGCTGAAAGGGCAGAAAGTACCATGTGTTGAATCATTTCAGGTTGTAGAGCATTGCCATCTGATGCACCAGTGGTGGAAGAGCCAATTGTATGGCCTGTAGTGGCATGAAATGCCTTCACCGAATGATGTGCTGGTCGTGGAGGACGCGTGGGACAGTCAGAAATGATATGACCTTGTTGTTTGCAATAATTACAAAACTTCTTACTGCAGCTACGAGCAATATGTCCAAACTGTTTGCAAGAAAAACATTGGACATGTTGCATATCACGACCTTTATTTCTACTTTGAGCAGCATATGCAATTGCCACAGGCTCAGAACTGACAGTATCATGAGACATGGTTCCTTGAGTAAGGAGACGTTGTTCCTCCCTGAGAAGTTCACCAACACATGTATCCAAAGAAGGAACAGGATTCCTATTTAGCAAAGCACCTCTGACAACCTCAAATTCTAGACGAAGCTTCATAAGAAATTGATCTCGCCTACTTGTGTTGTAGACCTCTTGAACAGCCGCAAGAGAGGTCTTGGGAACATTAGCATGTATAATAGCAGAGTGTTCTGCCCAAAGATTTAAAAAACCAGAATAGTATTCTTGAATAGACAAATCACCTTGTTTGTAGTTGGCGATATCTAACTCCAACTGAAAACGTTTTGCCGAATTGTCCTGGTTGTAAATGCGCTTCAGATAATTCCACATTTCTTGAGCAGTTGAAAAAGAACGCAAATTATTTATCATCTGAGGATCAATACTGTTTAGAATCCAAGTGATAATTTGAGCATCTTTAGTTTCCCACGCATCTAAAGCAGTTTTCTCCGTTGGTGCCTTAGAAACATCATCTAAGTGACTCCATAATCCCTTTCCTTTAACATACATCTTGAACTGAAATTCCCATGCCGAATAATTCTTGCCGGTAAAACGAACACAAAAATTATCTCTTTCTTTTTCGGAAGCCATCTAAATTATTAAACCACCAGATACAATCTCACTAATATTATTTTATTATTATTATAATAATAATTATAATAATAATAATAATAATAACTATAATATAATAACAGTAACTGTAATCACAATTACTAGAGCAGCAACAAGAAACAATACCCACGAACCAACGAACAACAGCACGATCAAATCCACGATTTGGAAGGAGCGGCAAAACAGAAGATTATGACGATCCAGAATCACGAAGCAACAACAGCCAAGAACCAAAAAAAATTGATTGCAATATCAGCGCAACAACGAGAATCTCCAAGACGAAATCACGAACCGGCAACCAAAGATTTAGAATCTCAGACAGCTGCAAGGTTTCGATTTCAAACGAAAGAATTTCGAAACGAACACGATTACGAGAGCGAACCAGTGGGGTATCGCTGATCAGCCAATATAATAATATTTTCCAGGTTTGATCGAACCTACTGATACCATGTCACGAAATTTGGCTTGATGCCTTTCTCATTGCCTTTCATACTATATATAATAGTGTCGGTAATTACAACTCATAATAACTAATTATAGCTGATAATGACTAATTACAATTCATAATGACTAATTTCCTATTCTATAAATGTAAATTATTCACAATAACTGCAAAGATTATTTTCTAATTAACACTGCTAAGCGGCCGATACGCCGGGATTTTGGCTACACCATGGACTACCATCAACAACACTGCTGAAAAACTTATTTGACTATAATTCCCTCCATCTTTTCTCTACCCACTGAAACTAGGATCCTGAAATTTTAATGTAGAGAAATGAGCTGATATAGTTCTCATTTATTATGAAGTGGAAGTGTAAAAAGGTTTTTCCTGTTGTTTTCATAGTTTCCCGAAGATTTTGCAGTCATACCCACCCATCAACAAGAAACTAGGAAAAGAAGTGAAAGACATGAAACTATTTAATGCTTAATAGATTAGTATTTTTATAACTACTTTACGAAATAGAAATGAGCAGATGTAGTTCTCATTTATTACGAAGTGGAAGTGTAAAAGTTCTTTTCCTGTTGTTTTTATAGTTTCCCGAAGATTTTGTAGTCATACCAATCAACAAGAAACTAGGAATAGAAGTGAAAGACATGAAACTATTTAATGCTTAAAATTAGTATTTTTATAACTACTTTACGTAATTCATACTTGTGGCATGATTAATAATACAGTATCTTTTGCTGCTTCAAAGTTCAAAGAGTATTTGAAATTTGATATGGAGGAGAACCGTAGGCTTACCAAAGGGGCATACCAGAAAGAGTAATCTTCATTTTTTGTTTTTGTGAATGGGGAGGGCCGAAGCCCAGAGAACTACACAATATGAAGGCTTCTCATGGAGATAGCCATCTTATCCTCAAAATACATGGTTTGCATCTCCCTAGGACATAAATCAACAAAAACTATTCCTATAGTATGCTTGGCGCCAACTTTCGCCAGACCATCCGCACACCTGTTCGATTCACGGTTAACATGCATACATCTCTACTCCTTCATATTTTACCAATGTGGTACTTTGAAAAGAGGACAACTGTTGGTTATCTGTCTTAAATCACTATTATCCCCATTCTTTTATTAACAATTAAGTTTTATTTGTAAGGGGTATCTGCTGTTTGATAATTAAGATATTTCTTTTACAAATTCTAGTTTGCACGCATGGCCGGTTCATACTTGCCAGCTAGTAAATTTATTGAATAAGAACTGCATCTTAGATTTCTTCCTTCACTAAAAAAGTTTTTCCTTGCTATTCTTGAATTTTTCCTCATCTTGGCAATTACGAAACCTTTTCATGTTAAATTTGTAGGAGCCATAAGTCTGTAATGGTTATAAGACGTAATCACGTTGTTGGAGGCATTACATATCGTCCATATGCAAGGTAATAATTCATCTCCACTTGTGTGTTTTTTTTTTTTTTTTTCAGGTTCTAGCTGTCTTCGCTTTATATTTTTTTCTCAAAAATTTGAAGCGTCGTTATATTGTTGTCCTTGTATCAATAACTGGGAACAGAATTTTAACAGTAGTTGTTATCACAGGTCACCTCATTAAAAAGGTTAACTGTTGTTTGTTTTAGTTGTTGTTAAATTGTTGTAGTATAATTGTACTTTTGTTGCACATGATAAAAATGCCTCTCAAGGGTCAAGGCCTATATAAGTGAGTAACCTAAGAATCAGTTTAATTGATAATTTTATAGAAAATACCCAAGCTGTAAATATACGTTGTACTTTCTTGTTTTCCCCTCTTAATTTTATCTCTCGCCTACTTATTTTTTCTATAATCATTCCTCCCCTTCCCCAACTAAAAAATCTCCACTTACAAGGATTGCCCTGTGGTTTAATTTATGAATACTGTTGTGCACTATGGTTGATAGCCAGAGGTTCGGGGAGATAGCCTTTTGTGCGATTACAGCCGATGAACAAGTAAAAGGATATGGGACCAGATTGATGAATCACTTAAAACAGTATGCACGTGATGTAGATGGGCTGACACATTTCCTCACATATGCTGACAATAATGCTGTTGGCTATTTTATCAAACAGGTTCGTTATCCCTATTTATGATCATTACCGTTGGGGTATCTATTGATATAATTAGTATGATAAATATTTGGTTTCTGACTAAATGCATATATTATGAACACTTTCCCTAAATATTAATCTTTTTGCCACATGGGTTGCTGCAATTCACATGACAGGAAAAACAATAAAAGCAACATGCAAGTGTCTAACATGTGTAGTTGCAATGTTTATTGCACCAAGCCGCCAACCACGCACTGGCGCGTCACATCCCAGTTGGATTGTGCCAATAGGGTGGTGTACATCAATGTGTATTGCTATTATGGATAAAACGGGTGATGTGGCTAAATGAGCAATACTTTGGGAAATTGTTTGAAAATGCACAACTATAGTATAGTATGAAGTTTTAGAACCCCTTATTTGGGGTAAAATCCATTTTTTGTCTGATAAGGGTAATTTTCTTCGCGGTCATGTTGGCTTGCTAAAATACCATAGAGATGCATCTGGATTTTACCAGTTGGCATTAGAAAAATAGGCAGTATGTTATGAGTTTCTTCTGCCCTAAATCTAGACAAAAAATAGTTAAGTTATCTGTTATGAACCATCTTTTTTGTTTATTGGAGGAGGCTATCAAATTTTAGAGTATAGGCAAAGAATTTTCTCAAAGTCGTGTCTATTTCCTGGTTAAGTTTGTCATGGAACTGATACTAAGAAGCATAATTTCCCTGCATGGTAGCAGTCATGTAGAATCCATATATTTGTTCTTTCTATTTTATTTAAACTTCTGGTACTCTGGAAATTGTTTTTTAACTTTTGGAAGGGTTTCTGTGCAATAATTGTCCTTATGTTGAATTAACAGCATTATAAAAATTTGCAATGTTGTTTGATTGCATTTTCAGGGATTTACAAAAGAGATTCACCTGGAGAAAGATCGATGGCAAGGGTATGCTAAGACTCAATTTTATTGTCAGATATCTTCGAGAAGCACTTCCTACTAGGACATTCATTTTTATAATGGATGCTGTGTTTTTTAATTAATCTGAAAATTTTGATCTTAGATTTTGTTGTAAAATTTCTATTTAGTTGTTAAGGGTGTGGGGCTGTAAGTTTTAGTTGAAGGGTTTTCTAGTATTGGTTATCATTTTCACCCCATAGAATGAGAATTTTGTGATGCAGTATATATTTAAATGGATGTATTTTTTATACTGTCGATGAAAATTCATCATATATACTTGTCATTTCAGTTACATAAAGGATTACGATGGGGGAATTCTCATGGAATGTAAGATTGATCCAAAGCTTCCTTACACTGATTTATCAACTATGATCCGTCGTCAAAGACAGGTAAGATCACTTGTATTTTTTAATCAAGTTTTACTTTGCATTGTTAAAATAGGGTCATATGTCTAATTACCATTTATTGTTTTAGAGAAATTATATTTTAATACGAAGCATGCAAATAATTGAAAATAAATAGTACATCAAATAATAATGTTAAATCTCAAGAAAAAAAACTCATTATCAACATGCATAAATTGTGTAATTACGTTATGATCCTAGGCTACGATCTTGCAACCTCCTTCTAATCACGGGTGGAATCTCAATCTTGACAACAATAGATCAAACAATTTGCTGTCATAAAGGATGGCTTATCTTACAATATTGAAGATCAGTTAGAAGTATCAAGTATGAAATATAAATAGCAAATTATATGAGAACAGGATATTTTTATAGCTACTGTTAAGAGTCCCACATCGGATAATATATGGCATGCACATGTGTTTATAAGTGGGGGTAATCCTCACTCTACCAATCGGTTTTGTAGGGTTGAGTTAGGCCCAACCACATTCTTAACATGGTATCAAGAGCCTCGTTTAAGATTCGGTGGGCCACCTTCTATGGTTTCCGCTATCGGGCCACCCAACATTTATTTCCACGCTTCAGTTGTCCAGTCCTGAGCGCGAGCGGGTGTGTTAAGAGTCCCACATCGGACAATATATGGCATGCACATGTGTTTATAAGTGGGGGTAATCCTCACTCTACCAACCGGTTTTGTAGGGTTGAGTTAGGCCCAACCACATTCTTAACAGCTACAAATAGGGATAATAAAAGGCTCAACAAAATGATTCACCCTATCTCTGGTCATGGACTTGGTTGTTCATATTGAACAAAAGAGCACAATTCTGAATCACATACTGTAGTACAAAAGCAATAAAACAAAAAAAGAACAACACAACTCAAATCCTTAAGAGCTTCCTAACAGAAAGAATGTCCTGGAGAGGTAATGTTTATCTGTGACTTGAGGGTGAGGGTGGCACATTTTCTGGAGCGACTTCCTTGTGATAGGAGATCAAGAATGTCGGTGGGAAGGCTCTGAATATAAGCTTTTTTAGGAGGTGGTAGGTCCTAGATGTCAAAGTCGCCTATTTATTCTTAAACATAAATACACATTACTGACACAAATAATAATAATAAAACACAACTGCATAACTAACTGTGATAGTTATTTTTGCCATCTCCTCTTATATTGAAGCCTTGGGTCTGGTCTCTTCATTTCTCTGGTCTGGTCAATGCATTGTTTTTCTATGATGTGTAGCTGGTTGGGTCTGGTTTAATATTGTGGAAAAATTAAGTTATTTTTGTGTTGCATTTCAAATCATTTTTTGAATGCATTTTTTGCTGTGCTGGCCTGGTTTGATCAGTCATATGTTTTCAAATGCATTATCTTCGTTTCTACATGATGTGTAGATGATCTGGTCTATTTTATTTTTTTGAATGCATTATTTCTGTTTCTATATGATGTTTAACTTATCAGGTTAAATTGTGTAAAAAAAAGATATTACTGTGTTGTATTTGCAGTCATTTTTATATTTGGAATGCATTATCTTTGTTTCTTTATGTTGTGAAAGCTTCTGCTAGTCTATTTTTTATTTACCACTCTTAATAAGTCACGACGTGTTTGATCATCATTGTTGATTATAAATGTAGGCAATAGATGAAAAGATTAGAGAACTGTCAAACTGTCACATTGTTTATCCTGGAATTGATTTTCAGAAGGTATGTGGCACTCTAAATTCTGCTTTTTTGTCATTTCCTGTATGGCATTATGTTTTTCCCATGTCAAATGATTTTTGTAAAATTTGGATTATATTATCAGCTTAATGCATATTGCATGGGATATTTAACAAATTGACTGCACTTCCAATATCTAAGCATGCTAACTTCCTTGACATGAATAATGAGCAAGGATAGGGAAGAGAATCATCTTTTATTTTGGTTGAAGTTACATTTTTCTTTTTCATACATCTGTCTGATTGGAAAGCTTATAGAATATTAACTTTCCCCTCCTGATTGACTCTATGCAGAAAGAAGTTGGTATTCCCAAAAAAATTATTGATGACATTCCTGGTTTGAGTAAGTACTTTATTCCCAATTTCTGTTTAGCTACTTATCAACATTTTTTGTTTGGTGCCAATGGGAAAATTTATGCATTACCTATCTTCACAATATAACATGCTCTGTGTCAAACTTTTTTGTCTCTTTTTATAGGTTAGTTAACTTTTACTTGTATGACATGTCCACCTCTCTCATCCAAGGCCTTATGAATGATTCCAAATCTTTGTGCTTCTTAGTGCTGAGTGCATCTTACTGATTAATTTTTTCTCGAGCTAAAAGAAAATGGGGGGCAGTGTTACTTATGATGTATGGAACTAATGCCATTTTTAGAAGTTCTTGAGCTGTTTGGAATAAGTAAAGGAGGGGAATTCTCTTATCCTGCCTGGTAACTAAAACTAGAGGGATGTTATTTCCCATTTTCCCTTTATTTAGTTCGGGGTCGAATAGGTTATCGATCTCTATAAATATCTTAAATTTTGTTTTTAGTCCCTAAGATTTTTCCGTCAAGTTTTGGTCTCCTTAATGTTTTCTGCCACAACTTTTAGCCTCGATGTTAACTGAGTTTATCAGAATTTGATGTGGCATTGCCGTTTGTGCTTTTTTATTGCCCTGGATTCTTTTAATTATTTAACTATGCACACGTGGAAATCGATCTTCATTTTTTTTTGACAAAACCAATCTTCATCTTCTCCAAAATCCCTAGCAACCATGGCTGTGAAGCAGTGTATGCAGGATCGCGAGTCAACTTGTGAACTTGTCCGATCCAATGTGTCATTGTTATGCCGGCATGCTGCCTTCCAGGTTGGACCGCAGATAACAAAAACGGCAAACACGCAGGAGTTGTGAAGTAAGGCGCTTCTTTTTTGGGGTTTTGAGAAAAAACCTTAATTTTTTAAAATGAGCTTGGCTCGGGTCATTATTAAAACCCATTATTTTTTATTATTTTAAATAGAAATTCAGAGACACGTAGTATCTCAAAAAACACAATTAAATGCAACCATTCGTCTCTATGTTTACCTTCCCCTATTCTTCTAAAAGATTGTTTTTAATTTGAACTTAGTTTTTATGGTTATGTTTTGATTTTGAATTTATGATTATGATAATGAACTGAAGAATTTATGGTTATGAATGTGTACTTATGAACTTCTATATGACTTTTAGGCATGTGTAAGTAATTATACATACATAAATATTTTTTTTCCACTAGTAGTAGGATCTTATTTTTCGTGCTACGATCCTCGAGTTAGAAGGATCTTACTATTCGTGCTAAGATCCTTGAGTTACGATTTTTCAATTCTCCATCGACTCTGTAGACTCTAGAGTTTTTAAACAGTGCTATAAAGGAATGGAATCAAATAAAAAAGTTAAATGAAGAAAACCAAGTCCGATTGACGCAGAGAAACCTAATAAGTATAATGATAACATGAAGATTGTAAATTCAATTCAAATCCTTTAAAAGTTAAATGAAGAAAACCAAGTCCGATTTACAAGGTAGCCATGGTGAAAAAAACCAGCTGCAATAAAGCAAATTAAATGAAGAAAACCATTCAATTTACAATATTCATCTTTTCACTTTTTTGATCCACATTAATGGTAATTGCTTGCTACCTCTAAATCCTTAGAAACCCATTCTTTTTTCGATTTACTATTATTGTTCTCTCTTTTTCACCCTTGTGTTTCTCAATATTTATTTTCCTTTAATTATTACATCCTGTGCCTGCAATTAGAATAAGGGTTTGATCTAACTGATGTCTACAAAACTCTTTTTCACCCTTGTATTTCTCAATATTTATTTTCCTTTGACAATTATTACATCCTGTACCTGCAATTAGAATAAGGGTTTGATCTAACTGATATCTACAAAACCATACTTGTAAGGTGAGAGATTTTACTCTATATAAACTCTTTGTAGGCTCTATATTTAACCATAACCAATGTGGGACTTGAGTTTTTTCCAATACACCCCCACACCCATAAATGGTGGATGGCCCGGATCGATAGACTCTTGATTAGTGTTTAAAAACTTGAGAGTCTACACAGAATTGGTGAGGGTTTAAAATCGATGGGGGATTAAAACTCATACTAGTGGAAAAATATATTTATGCATGTATAATTTACATTGTACATGTGCCCAAAAATCATAGTGTTTAGAAAAAGTCGTAAAGAGCTGAACAATCGCGTTTAAGGAAGAAGTCATACTGTTTAGAATAAAAATGTATAATTTACATAGTACATGTGCATAAAAATCAGTGTTTAGAAAAAGTCGTAAAGAGCTGAACAATCGCGTTTAAGGAAGAAGTCTTGCTGTTTAGCATAAAAATGAAGAAGCAATTCTGTTTTTAATGTAATAAGGAAGAACTGATTGAAGAAGATAATTTATGGGAAATAAAAGAGTAATAAAGATGCTTTAATGATACAGCATCTTGAGAGAAGAGAATGTTGTAATTTGTGAATTAAATACAGCATGTCTCTCTGAATTTCAATTTAAAATACTTCTTAAATAAAGTTCTAATTATGACCCGACCCGATCCAGGTCCTTTTTAAAAATGAGGGTTTTTCTAAAAAAAAAAAAACCTAAAAGAGGAGCGCGTCGCCGCAACTCTCAACTCCAAACAAGCTCGCTTCACAACTCGTGCGAGTTTACTTTTTTTGTCACGTGCGATCCCGCACGAAATGTAGCATGCTGGCATGACAATGCGATACAGTGCTCTTGATACCATATTAGAATTAAAGTTTAACCTAACTCATCCCTACAAAATCGGACCGGTTTGTTAGGTGAATGACGCCACTCTATATAAACCCTTTGTAGGCTCTATCTTTAATCAATGTAGGCTCTATCTTTAATCAATGTTTGGTTTGGATTTTTCCCAATACCTGCGAATCACGAAATCAAACGTCGAGAAAAATAACGACAAAGATTATGTTTTGAACTTGCTGTCGGCAAGGTATCAACCCATCCTCTTTTTACTTGTTTTTTTTTCTTTTGTCGCTTCAGTTTGTTTGGGTAGTTTTTTATTTTATATATCTTCAGATTTTCATGATACTTGGGATTTTCTGCTTCTGTTAAAAAAAATCGGATGGTTTTCTTCATTCCTTTCCTTTCCTTCATTGCCATGGTGCCTGGGGATTTTGGTGAATATGACTTTTTTTTTTGGGTGAGAAGATGTTGATTGGTTTTGTTAAAAAAACTTGATGATTGGTTTCCACTTGTTCATTGCTATTTTCTTTATTTCCATGTGTGCACAGTTAAATAATAATTACAAGTTCAGATCATTAAAAAATGCACACATCACATGCCACAGCAGATTCTATTAACTTAGTTAACAGGGAGGACTAAAAGTTGTGACGGAAAATATTCGGGGGAGCAAAATTTAATGGAAATTTTTAGAGGGACTAAAAACAAGATTTGAGATATTTATAAGGATCAAAAGCTTATTTAACTTTTTAATTTGAAAAAATATCTCCCTGTCAATCCTGAAATTCAAGGAGTAAGGACAGGGAGAACACATGCTCCTCCTTTAGTCCTTCTGTCCCCTTTTCGTCAAAGGACTTCCAAACAAAGGCTTGGTCACCTACTCCTAACAAAGATAACATAATTTTAATTTTGATTTGGCCTAACTCAACTTTACAAAATCGTGAGAGTTGTCTCGACTTATAAACATGTCTTTAGGCCATATCACATATGATTTGGGACTCTGATAGAAACCCTACCAAACCAACTGTTATAGAAAAGTAAATAGGGAAAACCCCTATGATTACAAAATGATAATCGCAGATCATCAGGTCTGCACCTTCCCAATGCCAAACTGACCCCTTTCCAATCAAATTTCAGGGAGTCGGACTTTGCTCGATTTATGTGTGTTCCATTTACTCATGTTTAATGCATTGATGAGTCACATAAATCAAACAGTTGAGATTAATAGTCTACAATTATTATTTTTTAATAGAAAATATTCCTTCTTCTTCCTCTCATCATGTCTGCCTCTCCCTCTTTCCACTCGCAGCCATTCCTCCTGTCACCGGGCAACTGCCAGTCTCAGCGGCAACCATTCTTCACGTTGCCGCTGCAACCGTCAGTCCTAGTGGCAATGTTTAAAATCTCTAATAACAATAACACTAACAAAAGAGACCTTTGTTATTCCATCAATTGAGGGTTTAATATAACTTTTAAATAACATCATTAAATAAAAAGTAAACTTTTTCTTCAAAATTGATTGAATAAAAAATAAACTTTTTCTTCAAAATTGATAACTGGAATAAAAAAACAAAATTAGAATTTATTCAGATTTATTTAAATAAACAATCAATTGATTTTAATTTGAGGGTATGAATATGACGAGGATGCCTAAGTTGATCACAACATGATGATAAAGATATTATTAGCATCGGCGGCTTTGGGACACCGGTGGGAGGGTGAGATTTGCTCATGACAGCGAGATGGCAAAACAGCAGGGCTGTGTGTGGAGCAGAAGGGAGAGAGAACACCATTGAGAAGGATAGCGGAAGGAGGTGGTGGCGAGCATAGGACGGCGAGGGGAGGCGGTGATGATGTGCTGAGAGGAAGAAGATAAATCCTAAATTGTATTGTTAGTGTTTTCTTTCTTTTTTTTCTTTTTTCTTGTTAAATGAATACTTAATTTTAATTTTTTAATCTCAGCCCTTTAATTTACTTTTGCCATATCAAGGCATTAAATAGGATTAAATTGAGCACACATAAATGGAGCGAAGCCTAACTCAATTCCATGATATCCTCTCTCTCAATCACTCCTATTTATAGACAAAACTTTCATTCTGCTAATTGATTAATTCTTAATCTAAATGCAGAGCAGTTACATATGACAGTTATAATAAATAAAAACTGCTTACTAATTAAGGCTCATTTCTAACATACTATTATATTTGACCATCAACTGGGATGTTGGGGAAAAAATTGACCCATAACATGCTTATGAATGAAATGAATTTCTTTTTCCTATTTTTCTGTTTGGCGATTTTCTGATCAATGTTTTAATTTGTGACTGAATGCAAATTACAGGAGAGGCTGGATGGACTCCTATTTTTCTGTTTGGTGATTTTCTGATCAATGTTTTAATTTGTGACTGAATGCAAATTACAGGAGAGGCTGGATGGACTCCTGATCAGTGGGGTCATTCGCGGTTCAGAACTTTAGGGGGTTCTACTGACAATGCTGCAAACCTAAAACATTTAACTGCGTTTATGCGTTCACTTCTCAAGGCAAGTTACTTGATGTTGCACTTTGACTCAAATTTCGCTCATCGATCTTTTAGAAAATGGTGCATGAATTTATATTCATGGATAATCACACCATAAAATATGCCTTAGTGGAATAGTTACACTGGAGAAATTAACTACGGCAATCATTTTTCTTTTCAGCAGTCGTTGCTTGATCATGCTGATGCTTGGCCATTCAAGGAACCTGTTGATCCACGGGATGTTCCTGATTACTATGAGATCATCAAAGATCCAATGGGTAAGAATATGTCTAGAAGCATGCTCGCAACTTTTGCTATTTGAAATTGATATCATATTATTTCTTGTCACTTCCTCCCCTGGCATTTGTTTTTGATGTTTATTTCTTGTGCAAGTTGTTTGTTTTGCACTTATTTCTTATGCAGTATGGTTTCACAATCTTGGAAGCATGATAAATGGGTGTGAAAATGTTATGAGTCGGTGTCACCATTGATGTGTGTTTATAAGTTGTATGGATTGTATATGGAGAGGATTAGCTTCTCATCTCTCACTTGACCCCCCTCCCCCAAGCTTAGAACATAACAAAATTGAATCCATCTATTTGGATTTGGATTCTCTCACTTGCAAACTATGAAACACGGATAAGTTGACACTCCTTATATAAAAAACATAGGATACTGACACTGTTACATATATGACAATACTTGACTCTTATTTTTCCATCTACTGTTCAAAAAGTTAAAAATATTGCTTCTGACACATTTAACTCTTTTATGGGTTTGATTTTTCCATCTACTATTCAAAAAGTTAAAAATATTGCTTCTGACACATCTTTAACTCTTTTATGGGGTTGAAGTTTGTTCGAACAATGTATAAGGTGTATTGAAACAATGTATAAGGTGTATTGAAGTAAAACAAAAAATGTCCTATGATGAGTGCCATGGGTGTAGGGCACCAATTCAAAAAATGTGCTACAATTGTTTGGATTTTCTGACACGTAACAAATGTGTGCCATGGGTGTAGGGCAACAATTCAAAGATTTTTGAAGCAAATAAAAAACCTATTTTTTGGGACACTTGTCAGAATTTTCCAGCATTTGTTAGACTGTGATACATGTCAAACACCTAGACACAGTCCTAATCCTAGGAGAGTCTGAGCTTCATAGCCTGTGAATGAACGTTATATAAGAGATTTCATCCCTAAAGTTTACCAAGTCTTGTGATTTAAAAAACTTGCAAGTGAGTTTTTAACAGTGAGATCTTCCACTAATTTTGATGTGAAATCCTCACACGATAGCATCTAAATTCATCATATAACATGCGTATGAAGTCTATAACATATTCCTAATTTGAGCACAGATCTGAAGACAATGAGTAAGCGGGTGGAATCAGAACAATATTACGTGACATTTGAGATGTTTGTTGAGGATGTGAGAAGAATGTTTGGGAATGCACGCACCTATAATTCTCCAGAAACCATATATTACAAATGTGCTACAAGGCATGGTGCTTCAACCTTCTGTGTATTTTTCTTCCTTTACTTACCCTTCATATCACCCTATGCTGTTACTTACATCCTTATTTTCTTCTGCAGGCTAGAAGCCCACTTTCAAAGCAAAGTGACATCTGTCCTCCAGTCTGGCACCAAAATTCAATAGGGACATTTCAACAGCCTTGCACACTGCTGCATTTAGATATATATTTTTTTTAATAATCATGTCCCATACAACTCATTAAGCAGCGTAAATGGTAGTTTCAACTTATACCAGATCTTGACTGAAACTTTCAGTGTGCTATATTTGTAATAAGTAGTATTAACATTAGTGGTAGTATTGCTCCTCCTCTCAGCCTTTGTGGGTTCAGACATTCTCGTCACAGTTTTTAGTAATAGAAAATATCAATTTTTGGGATTGATCATTAAACATTCCACTAGCAAAATAAACTCTTGTGTCTACTAATAGATACACTACAATATTTAGGAAAATTTGTTATATATAGAATAACACTCGTTATACATTATATATATCTACTGGTAAAGATGTAAAAATGAGTATGTCATTATCAACAACTATGAAAGAATGGAGAAAAGTTTATAGCTCTATAAGGCTTTTTTATTAATTAATACATCAAGCAATCTGGATGAGTCAAATTCTTGTACATTTCATGTGTTTTAAGTTGAGAGTTGATTATTTTCAGAGTTTAAGAGGTTGACGTCAAGTTTTTTTTAGAAAAAATCTTGCCCATATTAATCAAAGGTCGAACAGGGGTAATCAATTAACCAGTCTCATTTTACTAATTTTTGATTAAAGATTACTGTCTTTCATTTTGTATCTAATTTTTTCATTGGCCTTCTCTCTCTGGCTCCTCTTCTCCTCAAATCCAAATAATTGATCATTGATGTAGTTTGTAGTTTTGGTGGCGTGATGTTTTCCAGGTCACTATCATTAACCTCCATTGTGGTTGGAAAGCTGTCTGGTGTTGTGTTAGTTATCTCTTTTCTAACCTATTTTTGTTTTCGGCAAAGCTCTCAAATTGTTGGCAAGCCATGGTTCAGTCGAAAGATAGTTCTCTTCTCTGTTTTCTACATGTTGGTCGTGGTGGTGTTTGGATTTTTGTTTGTCAATGATTGGGTTCCAACGACACTATGTTTGTGTGGTTCATTTTTTGTTTGTTAATGATATATGATTTTGTTCTTTGGAAAAATTAAAAAAAAATTGGTGGATTCTTTGATCTTCATCTTTGGTTCGTGTTCACTAATCATTTGAGAATTTCTTAATTCACTCCTTGATACTCTTAGACACCTATCATATTTTTTTTATGCTTTCTATTTTTGAAGATATATATCCGGACGCACATTTTTTGTGACAATTTGATTTTTTTCGAAGCTACATCTACGGAATAATACGCAGGAAAAAACTTCAAAATAATTTAGTTCAGAGAAACTTCCGTATAATGCACCTTCGGAACGTCTAAACGCCAGATTGTTCTGTAGATACAGTTTTAGAAGTTTCTGCTAGATTTAAAACCTGCATGATCACTCCCTCCATTATTGTGTTTTTTTTCTTTCACATTCACCTTCGGCTACCTAAAAAACCCTACATTGTCAATATCATTTTTTACTCCAAATCTTCAATTTTTTCATGCAACAAATCAAAAGAACCAAGAGAAGATCGAATTTCAGGTAAATATTGCACTTTGTCCACTACATTGCTCACATTAATCATTAAACTTTTGGAAAAAAAAGTAACGTTGCTTCTGGAGCTGTACCTTCGGAACGTGTTGAAGATGAACACTTCCAGATGTACATCTCCGGAACGTGTCTGCGACCTATTTTTTTACAGCAGATTTGTAATTTTTATTTATTTTTCTTATTATTTACAAATCGATATAGTGCACCCCGATAATATCTCAAAAGAAATAGTTTCTAAAAATGATGTTTTTCCGAATGTTCAAAGGAGTTGTTGTAAAGTCGGTAGATGTCGGCGTTGACTTTAATAACAAGTAATAATTTGATGATCGTGATAGCATACTCACATGGATTCATAGGACTGCAATTAAAGTTGGTTTTGGTGTAGTTATAGGAAGATCAGATAATGGTGTTTCTTCTAACTTTGTTGTACGAAAGAAGCGGGAAATATCATACTCCTCTACAAAAGTTTAAAAGACACGACACCGGTAGTAGAAAATGTAAATGTCCTTTTAAGATTCGTGGTTACATGTTGAATATAAAAACGTGAAAATTTAGTGTTATTTGTGGTTTGCATAACCTTGAATTATGCTTAAAGTTATAAGGCCATCCTAGTGTATGTCAACTCAAGTCGAAAGAGAAGACATGTATTAGTGACATGACCTTGAATCTTATCCAAATGAAAAATATACTTAGCACATTGAAACGGAAGAATCCCAACAATATATCAAATATAAGGCAAGTATATAACATTTGGTACCGCACCAACAAGGCGATTATGGGAGATAGAAGTGAGACGCAACAACTGTTGAAATTGTTGGATGACAACAATTACGTGTCCCGGTACAAAACTTGCGACGATGGAGTTACGGTCCGAGATATTTTTTGGACTCATCCGGATTTGATAAAGTTGTTCAACACATTCTCGATAGTACTCATTCTTGATTCTACCTGCAAGACCAATAAGTATAGACTTTCTTTATTTGATATGGTTGGTGCTACATCTACTGAGAAGACATATGTCGTTGGTTTTGCTTTTCTGGATTGTGAAAAAGAGGACAATTTTACATGGGCATTAGAGGTGTGTCAGTCACTTTTGAAGGACCAAGTTGAGATGCCTAAAGCGATTGTTATCAACTGCGATACCGCGTTAATGAATGCGGTTGCAAAGGTATTTCCTTCTTCTAATGCATTACTTTGTCGATATCACACAACAAAGAATGTGAGAAGTCAGGCTAAATCTGCGGTGGGGGAAAAACAAGTAGAGTCTGAAGGTGGAAAATTGGTGAAGGCCGATGTGATTGTTGAAAAAATAATGGATGCATAAAATCGTATACTAAATTCTTCCATAAAAGAATTATATGCCGATTTCTTCATTCAATTCCAGAAAGTGTGTGAAAAGTATCTTACTTTATTGAAATACGTTGAAAGCACCATTCTTGATCGGGCGAAGGAGAAGATAGCCTGTGCATGGACTGATAATGTCAGACACCTTGGAAATACAACCACCAACAGAGTTAAGTCGGCTCATGTTAGTTTGAAAAATTGGTTGGGTAATAGCAAAGGGTTTTTGTGTCAAGATTGAGACTCCGTAAATCTCATGATTAAAAACCAACATAATAAGGTACAAACAACATTTGGTCGGAGTATAATGGTATTTGAATATCGATTTAAAGACAATATTCTTTATTCTCAATTGATCGACAATATGTCTCGACCGGGGTTGAACTATATTTTTCACGAGGCCAAACAAGTTGAAACCGTCGGTTCCGATAGCCCAAAGTGTGGTTGCACTATTGTGAAAATCTATGGTCTTCCGTATGCTGGTGTTATTGCTAAAAATTTGAAACTAGGTGAACCGATAAGAATGGACGAAGTTTGCCCTCATTGAAAAAGACTTAGTTTTAATGATGATGGTTGCATGGAAGGAGGTAAGCTGAATATCTCTATTTTGACCAAATGGGAAGCCATACAAGAGAGATTATCAAATGCCGATGATAATATGGAACTTCGCATTAAAGAACAATTGAGAAAGATTGTTTATCCCGAAAAAACCGACATGAAACTGCCTTCTCAACCGGTAAAGACAAGAGGTGCTCCGAAGAAAATGAAGCCTACACCGAATGACAACTTGATTACATGGTCTCGTTCTTATAGTGAGCATGTTGACAAACTTTATCCCGACTCACCGACTCCTAAATCTCAAAAAAGTATCATGAAAGGAGCCCGCATAAGGAAACCGCATCCGACCCCGATTTCGCAAAAAAATCCATTATCGACGAGATGCCCGGTTTTTATACACAAATACATCGACCATATCGTCAATGTTAAAGGGAATGGTAATTGCGGTTACCGAGCTGTTTTGGCTTTGCTTGGTAAATGAGATGATAGTCATACGCTTGTCCATCATCAACTAATCCAAGAGTTGAAGACGCATAAAGAATCGTACACGCGGTTGTTTGGAAAGAAAGAAAAATTCGACGTAGTTTATGAATATCTTGTTCCTTACTTGAGTGGTTCGACACCAGTGTCAAAATAGATGACCTTCCCTGATATGGGTCATCTTATTGCATGTGCATATGATAGGGTGGGAATTAAGTTGATGCGATACAGGTTTTCGGAAACCTTTTTTTTACTCCGCACCACCTCAAAACCCAAATGATCGCATCATGTGTATTAGATGGCTTGAAAAATCAAGACATTTTGTACAAGTTTACTTGAAACCAGGATGTCCCATACCACCTACATCACCGGAACGAGCGACTCAGTCAACTGCAGATGCCGAGACGGGGCCAGATTGTTTTGTTGAAAAGATACATGAATTCGAAAGATTGAACAACATTGAGAAGGAATTGAATGTGAAAAAGTTCAAAGGGGTACCACCAATAGATTTAGCCGACGGAACTTGTTTTGATTCGTTTTGAATTCTGAAAAAGTTTTGGAGACACACTTCCAGAACCAATAATTATGGGGTCGTTCTGTGGATATAACTCTGGAAAAAAGTTTGATAGAAATGGGTTGGTCCATATTCACCTAGGTTTTTTTTATAAATTTGGGGTTTCAATTGTTATCTTTCACACAAATACAAAAATGTCTCAATTTTGTGAAATCAAGATCTGTAACGCCCCGTTTTATTTTATATTTTTCGTAATTAAAATTATGTGATATGGTGTATATGTATGCAATTATGTGTGTTTTGTTGTGTTTGGGGATACCCTTGGTGCGGAGTAGTGACCTTAAGACTAGTCCAAAGGAAATGGTTGGAGGTGTGTGACCAATAATGTAGAACTCAGTGACATGGTTAGTAACTAATTAGTAATATTAGTTAGTAATTATTTATTTGAATAATATTAGGTGAATATTATTTAAATTAAATAATTAGTATTATTACTATTATTTGTTATTGTTGGAACTATATTAATTAGAGTGGAAATTGAAAAGATTTATTGACAATTAATGGGCAATAAATCA